AATAAATAAAATCTTTAAAAAATAATAATAATAATAAAATAAAATCTAAAAAAAATTTAAAAATAAATAAACTGTCACAACTACTGATCATTTATGCACTCCACACAAAGTAGATGTTTAATGATACGACATAAGAAATTGCAATGAACCTATTCACATCATACCTTAGCTTTTAAACCATTCGTGGATCCCAATTACCATAGGATAAAATCCAAACGCCTTAGTGTAGCATTCAAAGCCCTTCAACCTGACTCAAATCAGGCTGTACACATGTCTATTACAATGTGTGTCACCCTGAATTATGTAGCTCAATTAACAGATTATGTGTTTGTCTCCCTGGCAAGGCTGGAAGCTCCTGGACCACAGGAAGCAGATCTTACTCATTTCCTATCCCAGGCCTCACCTACTTCCCCATTCCCTAACCCATCACCCAGCACATAGTAGGAGTCCTAACTGTTTTGAATAAAGTTATTTCCATTATATTTCTCTGTCAGCTGGAATTTTTTTATTGTGGTAAATATACATAAAATCAAATTTACCATTTTAACCATTTTTAAGTATATAGTTCAGAGGCATTAAATACATTCACGTTGCTATGTGACCTGCCAACTGGATTTTGGATAGTATCTCAGCATACCTCATTGTAAAATTCACTGTAATGAAGAAAAGGGGGATAAAGGAGAGGGTGTGACAGACAAAATACACAGGACAATAAATCAGATGATTTTGTTCAGATTGTTGCAATAGGCGGAATGCTCATTAGTGAGGAAAGTATCAAAGAGAAGGAAGTGGGGGAGCGCCTGGGTGGCTCAGTTGGTTAAGCATCTGCCTTGAGCTCAGGTCATGTTCTCTGGGTCCAAGGATCGAGCCCGGTGTCTCCCTGCTCAGTGGGGAGTCTGCTTCTTCCTCTCCCTCTGCCCCTCCCCCCATGCTCACACCCTCTCAAATAAATAAATAAAACATTAAAAAAAAAAGAAAGAAAAGGAAGGGGACCTGGTGTTACATAGAGGCAGGTAAACAAGGGAGTCGTCATGAAGGAGGATGGAAATGGTTTTATCCGAATCACCGAGGAAGGGCAAAAGTGGGTCTTATCTCAGAATATTCTAGAGCAGGATAGTCCTTTGAAGTTAGCCATTTCTCAGAACTCAAAATGGGGTGAGAGGGGACACAAAACGGTGAGGGGATTTCTTGACTGTAGCTGCTTTCCAGAAGTACAGGGTTCATATAAAGTTGAACACTGTTAAAGTCTTGAGGATGTACAGGGAAAGAGAAAAAGGAGCCAAGTCCTCCTCCCACACCGCCCTATGCACACATAGAAGCACCTTCTGATAGTTAGGTCAGGTCTTGACCCACCATCTTCCAGCTGCTTAATATTCTCTTTTTCTCCAGAGAATCATTTCCCATGATCTAAGGTTATACATCTCCAGGGTGGGAGCATTCATAGATGATATGAGTTGTGCATTCCAGCAGTTCTGGATGATTCCTCTAGTTTCTTGGCTTCAAAGCCAAACAGGTACCTCCACTTAGGAGCACCTTGAAGCCTGATGCCCCTAACCCACCTCATGCCAGAGGCTGCAAGGCAGCCTCTTGGCCCCATCCTTTCCTCTCCCTTTGCCCTTCACTTCTAAACCTTGCCATTCCATTTAAATCCACCCTCATCCCAAACTTAGGACCCAAAGCAGGGCCTAACATCAGCCTTCCCAAAGCCAGGTAGACCATTTTTTCCTCCTCAGAGGTCTGGATTAGGACTTGGGATTAGGTCCATCATCAGCCCTAGAGTGGCAGCTAACCTGGTCCCACCCCAGCCCCTGCCCCATTCCTCCCCAACACTCTCCCCACCCTTCGACCCCCCTGCACCTCCAGTTCTCCAAGCAGACCCTAGTGCACAGAAGGGGACAGGAGCTCTAACACTAACTAGCCAACTACTTTCCAGTGGCAACTTATAAATTCTGGCCTCCCAACAAGCCACAATTGAATAGCCTGGAGTGCTTGGGGCACACAGATGCCTGGGTCCCACTCCCAAACACCTGATTCGTAAATCTGGGGTATGG